AAGGAAACCATGGATGTTTCAGAGACTTCTCTGGCCTACAGTAACATGGCTGGCACAAGCACTCACTGTAGAAGACCCTGTTGGTCAGCCTGCTAGACAATCCCACTAACAGAACAGTGAGAGCTTGTGCCTATATGGATTCACCAGTGGACGGGCACATCACTGCAGTAAGAATGACAGCAATGGAGATTTCTCCCATATTGGTTTGCTCCTGCCCACACAAAAATTTGACAGTCCCCTCCTTAACCAGGTCTGCTCCATAACCCAGACACATCAAATGGTGAGAGAGCAAAAATTGTCTTTTAGGCTCTGTCCTCCTCTACCCTCACAATAAAGCACAGCCCACTTGCTATTTTCAATCAAATTTGACAGCAAATTAAAGATCTCAATTAAATGAAAGCTCACTAGGGATAGGGGAGAGACACCAAGACTGCTCCAATAGAGAGAAAAACTAGACATGAGAGACATTAGACATGAGAGGTTTTACAGGGGAAAGAAAGATTACTTAAAAGTACCTCCTACTTAACACCAGCACAGTAGCTCTCAGAGCAGCTCTGGCAAGCACAACACTCCCAACTCTGCCAGAACTTGTCCCATCACCAGATCCAATCCACACTTCTCACTTCTACAACTTTTTAGCACATGCACACACACAACCATTTGAACTTGACTTAAATTATACTAAAGTTGTTAAATTCCAGTCAAGTGCCAAATAGCAGTGTTAGAGTCAGAGATGACATCAGAGCAGAATCTAAGAAACACTGCAGAGGTCTCTCTGCTCCTCTTCAGCACAGCTGACTGGCTTCCCAGCCAAGACCAGTTGCAGTGGAACAGGAAGAAATGGAAGAAGTGCAATATGCAATGTCTTGCTGTGTTTTAATCTAAAACCAGACACAAGCTCCTCACAGCAGTGTCTGTTTATAAAGCATTACAAACAATTGAATCCTACAGGATCTACACACGCACGCCCCCATCACCTTATGCTGAAGTATATGCTGACATTAATCCTACGCTGGCATCAACTGTCTTAAAAGAATAAAAATTTAGTTTAAAAAAAAAATTTACTCTTGGCAGTAGGATGAACTGAGTAGACATTCCTTTCATTTTATACTGTTTTTTTGATATGTAGAAATTGATTTAGGAGATTCCACATAAACCACCATTTAAAGCTAAATGAATCTGAGGCTGTCAACTTTTATTTTCTTAAGCTTTACTTTTTACATGTGTTCAAATAAAGTAAGTACTGAAAAACATCACTGCAAGCATCACTATAGCAACTGCAGATCTTGAAGCTTCCTTGATGTAGCATACTCAGATTCCAGATGGAACAAAATGCCATGTCTATCTTGCTTTTTATAAGGTGCCTCTCTCCTACAAAGCCTCCAAAGACTAGCAGGGACATCTGCTGCAGAATTTGCTCTTGCGAAACCACACAGGCTCAGATAAATTCACCTATTCTTGCAGTTTTGGAAACAAAACCATTTATATTAAAACTTTTGCACCCAAATGCCTGTGTGAAATGTCATTAGAATAAAAAAAAGAATTATGCAAGGTAGTTATCCAAGTCCCTTTACAACCCAAGGGCTGACCTCATTAAAGCTAGTGGAGTTTTGCCACATATTTCACCAGAGCCAGAATCCCAACCCGCATAGGAGATTTCTCTGGTAGCCCAGCTCTTCAACTCACTACACTGCATCCAGAGTACAGAGTACTTTGTATTATTTTACTATACCTACTGTCTATCAACTCTACCTAATTACCTGCAATTTGTAGAAATGACTGTGTGTTCTTGAATTAAAATCTTAGAAAATAATATATTTTTTTTTTAAGAAGTACTATGGAGAATGTAAACAAATCCAGGGTTATTGTACCTCTAGGAAAAGAGTTAATACTGGAGAAAAGGTACTATTGGCTTACATTTTTTTATACAGCCATCCAAGGATGAACAACAGATCATTATCAATTTAGTTCATTGGTTCCACTGTTCTGCATTAAATTCAGCATTATGGAAGCAAGAACAACCAAAAGATTGTTTGAGAGGCCACGATGAACTATAACTGCCTTTTTAATATTCAAGTAAAAATTTACACTCCATCAAAATACTTCACAGTTCTCCATTGTATTCCTATTGCCAAAAACACATGGAAGAGAAAACAATTAAAATTCCTGCTCTGGCTTGGCCCCTACTCTGAAAAATAATTAAGGAGATATTAATCCGGCTCTTTATTTTCTTTTTGAGTTTACAGAAGCCATTCCTCAGTTCCAAGGTGAACTTCAGATATTTATTGCACCTTCCTTTTTGCACCTTCTTGGCTTGAATGAAGTAGCAGGAGTACAGTGCAAGGTAAGATGAGCAATTTACCACTGCTTATGGCTGGCACAGTATTTACAGGATTCTTGCAAGCCTTGATTGTCAACTAGCAATATAGTTATATACTAGTAACATCATTATGCCCTGGAGACTCAGCCCTTTGTCCTCCAGTTCACATAAATGAAAACTATTACCAATACATCAAAGAACACTATATCTAGTTCCTATTGCTTCTGCTGTTGCTGACAGAATGCTCAGTTCTTATGAGTGGAAGAAAAAATAATTTCCTAGCTGACCTCAAACACCTGGGCTTCTTTGGCACACCTCTCAAAGAATTTGAGAATAGGAAAATGGGGACAGCATAAATTCTCATTCTGAAAAGAAAGTAAATACTGGAGAGAAACACAGAGGTCAAGCAATTAATTAGTATTGTCCAGGCCATATTTGAAAAATAGTAGATAGAATGTACATCTGTATTCCCCTTCTAGAGTCCTGGGTCTTAACAATCAAAATAATGTCAGCTGCCAACTATGTGGAGACCCTGTGAAGTCCATCTATTGTTGTAAGGAATCCCACAGTCACTAGTCAGCAAAGAGCAATGAAAAGGTTTAAGCTACCATTGTCATTTGAAACATGTAAGAAGCAGCTTTCATTTTTTTCCTTGAATTATTTTTAATTTTTAAACATCGTAAGTGAAGGACTGTATGTGACTTCTGATGGATGCCCTACAATACAAAGTTCGGGCCTGAGGAAAAGTTCAAGCAGTATCAATGTCTAACCTGCAAGCAATTAAGAGAAACTAACATCAACAGCACTAACAACTGGAAGCATGGCTTAAATCAAATATCTAAACAAAAATTATTTTCTAAATTATATACATGGAGCTTTAGTTACTAAATGCAAATCCAGACATGCAAATTTGATTACACATTTCTGCCATGCTATCAAGGCACAGAAAAATGCCAGATATACTTGTCTGTCTAACTTTAACTAGAGATGATTCAGCTCATAATTATGCAGAATCTTCAAAACTTTTTTTTTTTTTTAAATCTAAACAAGTTAAAGGAAATAACACTTCTCCTGTGGATATTTTGTGAAAAAGCAAAACTTCAGTAAAATTACTTCCTTCTAACCATCTCAGCTACTTTTAGGTATAAAGATGGCATGCAGGACCTGTGGCTACAGAGTTCCCATGTCACAAAAAGTGTCTCAAGGACCTGAAGTATGATTTATATTATGTTAAGGAAAGCTTCAACGTTCTAAACTATCAAACAGATCTTTTGAGATAAATGGGAAAAATATGTCACTTTAAAGCTTAGGAAAAAAAGTCAACAACAAAAGCTTCTGTGATTATTTTAAATTTTATTTTGTACTTCCCTCACAGTAGAATTACTAAGCAAATAAGCTGCAGTGGTCAGTGATATTTTTGCTACATACTATTATCTATAACTGCTGAACATCTATAGCATTAACATACTAAATATCTAAAGAAACGCATCTTTTTAGCTTAGGGAAAAAAACATGAAGTTTTCAGCTTGGTCAGCAATATTTCCAATTTTTAGCTTTTGACTATGTTGTTTAAAATATTTGCAGAACTACCATTTCTTGTAAAACAAATCTAGAGAGAGTAAAAGCCATCAGCACATTCTCCCCTCTTTCAGACCAGCACCCACTAAAATTTAAACTGATAAAAGACATTGTAATCGATTCTGTCTAGCTCAAGTATCAGCTATAGTTTGAAGTGCCAGCCGGCTACTCAAGTGTTCATCCCTCTCTACTCTTCCTTCTTCCCGTGTTCCTAAGACTTACTAGCAAAAGACAGTACCATTGCACTGATTCAACATCAGTTTGTGCAATCCTTACAGTAATTCTAAATCCCTTGGAAAAAGCAAACAAGCAATACATTTTCTTTCAGACAACACAGACAATTCATCTGCATTGTAAAACAAATGTACCTTAAAAAGCTAACTGTAACCGCTCAGCAGTACTCCTGATTGCATTGCCCGCTCTCAGAAACTATTAACATAGTATGGGACAAGGCTGCTTCCCTCCTTCACAGTCAACCCAGCTAACTAAGGATGTGTGCAGTTTTCAGACAACACAGGACTATTCAGATCCCCATTCTGGCATGCTTCTTTATGTCTCTATTAACTGATCTGCAGCTGTACAAACAGCAGTGTTTCACCAGCATACAAGCTCCTTCACCACAATTTATCTCATTCAATAGCACTTCTGTGAGCCTAAGTCCAGCATCTAAAAAACAGTAACAAATACCTTCAAGACATACTTTCTTCTATCCAAAAAGATACCTAGAGGTCTCAAACAGTAAATTGCATGGGAGCCTGTATACCACATCTCCTCAAAGGGATTTTTCTGAAATTGCAAGTCCTAGAGAGGCCGAGGGGCCATGTGTTAGTTTTATGAATATTCTGACTCATTATCAGGTTCTGTTCTCAAAACAGAAAACAGCACTGTATAAATTTTGCCATCCACCCAGCAAAAGCATCAAAAAAAGCTACCATTTACTTCTTCAGGTAGAAGAGGTTTCCCCAGTTGTGTTAAGAATGCCATCATTTTCCTAAATAAACTGTTAAACTGATGAGGTGACTGTAATTTCTAAAGAAAAGTCTGGAAAAGAGTGTTTTTTGCAAATTTGCAAAACAACTTGGTTAACGTGAGCACAGAGTACCTCTTGCAGCTGACAGCCCTGGGTGGCAGCAGCCTGTAACTCGTTTTCTAGCCGCAGCAACGCCCCCATCTATGAAACACGGTCATCCAATCCATTGCTAAAACAAATTCACACATTACAATGGCTCAGCTACACAAAATGATTCTGGGTTGCCTTTGCACAGGTATCTCAGGGCATAGTTTTGCATCTTAGTTGTTCAAAACATTCAGCAAGAGGGAAAATGAAAAGCTTTTTATATTGGTGCTGCTCAGAACCACTGTGTTTTTTAGAAAGCCTTAAATTTTATCCAGATCAAAATCAAAGGCTAAATACGGAAGGAAAAACAGTTGAAAATCCTTCTGGTCCAGCAGAACTTTATTTCAGAAAGTGTTCTTTTTTTGATCTCTTAAAACACAGTTGCCTCAATAATTGAATAATTCAGATAAGCTACAAATTACTTGTAGTTTTTCCCACTAGTGATACAGAAAATATACTTTTAACATTAGCAAAAAATAGCTTTTTGCCTTTTAGAAATCATTATATCAAACATTTATAGTTTAAGAAAAATAATGGACTGAAATATTTTAGAAAATAATTTACAGCTCACAATGAACGGGAAATGTGAAAACTACCGTCTTTTTCAAAGGTGGTGATGTTTACATCTTTAAGATGTTATTTCTCAATTGATTTAGAATATAGCACAAGAGAAGTAAATTTTGCTAAGAGTACAGGAAGATCTTTGAACGTCCTGTTACGGTTATTGTGTCTCATTGAGGCAAAGGAAAAAGGCGAGGACGAGAGGGAACACACAACTCTTACAGCAGCTAGCAGAAGTTACGGCCTAAGTTTATTTCCAAGAACTTAGCTAACCCCTTTAGCACAATAAAACACAGCAGCTGATGGGCGAAGCAGTCTTTTCTTTCTTCCCCTCCCTTTTTGAACTGCCTCTCTTCGCTTGGAGCGAAAATGTTGAGGCTCCCCTGCCCTGAATGCCTGGCTCTGGTCCAAGACGCACTTAATGAGGTCCTGGCAGCTCCCAGGCGCTGCAGACGCCTCTCTAGTCCCGCAAACAGCCTTCATCAAACAGACAAGAACGGGCGGCAAAGCTGTGCCTGACAGCAGAGCTTTTCCTTCCAAAATAAAGAGACAGACTCTAGAATATCGTATATGCCAGACTTTATCTGAGCTAATCCAATGTCACTTCCAACTCCTCTCCAAGAAAAGCGAGCACTAATACATTATAACAATTTAACAAAGTTTACATATAGTGCTATTCAAGTCAGCTAATATTTGATGCAAAATAAACCCTTCTAATTTAAATTGTTAGAAAAACAACTGCCTATTTAATATTTGGAACAATAAATATTAAACAAGCAGTAGTTCAGTAAGTCTGAATTTCTTTTCTAAGCACCACTGACAGTGTAGATCACTATGACAGGAAACAAGTTCTACAAGTGAGAAGCTTCAATTAAACAAATACCAAAGATCTTAACTAAAGAAACATCATAATACATCAGTGAAACTACTCAATGTAATTTGCTCAAAGATGCAATGCCCACTCATACTTCCATATTTTTAAATTTCTAGGAATTTTCATGTTTCATGTCAATGTTTTATATTATTTCCTTTTCTGATTGACTACAAGCTTGTTTAAAAAAATATTATAATACAGCCTAACTATACAATAGATGGCAGATTCTCTGCTTCTAAGCTGTTCTACATTTAGTTGCAAGTTAAAAAAAAAAATAAACAAACCAGAATATAATTAATTATGCACAGAAAGTGCTTATCTAGTCAAGGCATGGAATTTTCCTGTTTTGGGTCAGGGGTTTAATTTATTTGGAAAGAAATATCACTTTTCCC